TAGAGTATGGATGTCTGTCCATAGGCGAGGTGACCAATACCCCTATGAAAGGGAGATGGGAGTCACAAGGTGCCACAGAGGCAGCTTAGAGGAAGGAACTCCCAGAAGGTAGAGGTACAGCACACCTTCTGGAACTGTGTCTATCCAGTGCCACCAGCCATCCCCAAACTGGATTCTTTAGTATTGAATATGTATTGATTAATGGATGGAAAATACTGAGTTGATTGCCAGTAACTAACTCATACAGAGTTCCTCCAAATTAAAGGGAGCTAGATGTGAGAGGCAAAAAGCAATTTCCTCAAAAAATTCAATTTGTTTTGTTCTCTGTGTCTGATTTCCTTTGGGTTGGCTCTGATTTCCGTATGACCTCCAAGACCCCCAGACTCAGCTCACATCTGGAGCCGTGTCTCCAGCCCAGGCCCAGGCCCTGCCAAGCATGGAGAGGCTGGCTCCGCAGTGAGGTCTCCCTGGGACACATTAACCACTGCCGGGGTGTGAAGGGTGATCAGCGGTTAGATTAATTCCTCATAAAATGTCACTTAGGCCAGAGCAGCTAAATACGTGGTCTTAAGAACTATACAGAGCTTCTCTTTTGGCTCCAACAAAGAAGAGAAAGGCAGGGCTACAGAGGTATAATTGTGCAGGGACCTGCAAGGCTGCTGCTGGGCTGACTGCCAAGTTACTTGAGGGCAACACCATTGCAATGAGAGGGTTGAGGTTTTCCTGTCCCCCACTTGTCCTTCCCTCCACTCACTAACCCTGCAGTTTCCTTCAGCTGAAGTGGATATCAGTGGAAATCGAGAGGTTCCCTCCCACCTTTTCTGGGGACAAAACCCAGCCTCCAATCTCTGTAGACTTTAGTGAAAGACGCCAGAGTGTAGACGCCATGTGGAGTGTAGACAAAGGTGGAATGTGGTGGAAATGCTTTGTCAGAGGTACTGCAATGATAACACAGGTTTTTATTTCATCACTGAAAGAAGCATGATATTCACTGCTCTCCCTTAGATGGCCTCTGCTCTATCTTTGCTGGTTTTCTCAATATTCTTTAAACGCAGCTTACATGTCCCCGTGAACCTTTGCACTGGCTGTTTCCTCTGCCTAGAATACTTTTCCCTTAGATAACTGCATGGCTTGCTTGCTCCCTCACTTCCTTTGGGTCTTTACGCAAATGTCACCTTCTCCGTGAGACTCTCCCTGGTCACTGTATCTGAAGTTTCAGCCACTCCAAACTGTTGCTATTCTCTTTCCCTGTTTCATTTTTTTCCTCCTTATCCCTGATTATTATTTACACTTGATATACTTTACTATTTAACTTGTTTATCTGTTTCCCTTACAGAATATAAGCTTTGCAAGGTCAGGGATTTTTTCTATTTCATTCATTGCTGTATCCCCACGAATCATGCCCCTCTTGTAAGATCCTGGCTGTACAGTGCCTGGCACACAGTAGGTGCTCAAAACATATTTGTTGAATTAGTTCAGCCATTGGAATGAGCCCATATTTGGAATCAGACCTGGGTTTGGATGTGTGTTCAGCTGGTTAGAAACATTACTTCTCTCTGAGTCTCAATTTCCTTATCTGTAACTTAGGTATAATACCTATTATATCTAGGGTTCCTGGGAAGGGTCATGAGATAATGCATGTAAGGGACTGAGCACAGTGTCTGGCTTGGAGTAGGAAGAACATAACTAGCAGTTATCTTGCTATTGTAAGAACATAAGTGTTTGTTACTACCCAGAAGCTTGAGAACAGGTCAACAGAAACAGAAAGAAAAATGAAAACCTTCAAATCTGCCTGGATTGGGGATAAGGGGCAAAACAAACCTCGTGTGCAAAGACACATGGGTATGTAAGGCTGTGTGTGTGCATGTGTGTTTGTGTGTATGCACGCACACGCATGCATCCCATTCATATAAAAGTTGGGGCTCATGGATTTTAATCCCCATCACAGTTATTCAAAGCTCTATCTTCGGACTTCTGTATGCGCACAAGTATTGTAAACACCACACGCATACACACAGATGCCCAAGCATACTCGGTCATGCACAGGTGATCCCTCAACCTCCCCCCCACCCCCAAGGGAGAGGCTCTGTAACAGGGCAGCTACTTTACTGTTCGTGGCTTGGAGGACTTGAGAGAGAAATTGCACCATTACAGCCGTGACTGCAACCAAGTTCCTTCCTAGATGCTGTCCCCAGCCCAAGCATGACTCTCTGTCCCACCTCCCTGACCCTCTTGACAACATCATACTGAGCCTTCTGAGTCTTCTTGAAGGGACTCACTCCTTCAAGACACAGAACCCCTCTATTGGTCTGACTGCAAAGGGGAGCGAGGGCCCTGCGTGAACATATGCCTGTCTCAGCCTCAGGCATCATGGAGAGAAGACACATATTGAGCAGGACAGTCATCTTGGAGCCGGAGTTTAAAAGATGAAGACTTTCTGAAGGACCTCCCTACCACGGCAAGGCACCCCGAGGTCCAGACCAGGGGGCGACTTCTGGGGCAAGGCAGCACCTGATGAGAACGGCTGATGTGGTCGTACACGCCCCAGCCTCTCCACCCCACCCCATCCTGACCCCCCTGCCACAGTGAAAATAGAATCCTGGGAAGAGCACTGGCTTCAGAATCAGGTAGTTTGGGGACTGGAATCTTAGCTCCAAAACTTGACAGCTAGGGAACTTCAGCAAATTCCTTAGCCTTTCTGAACCACAGTTTCATCATCTGTCAAATTATCCAGACAATAACTCCCTTGTAGAATTGTTGGGAGGATTTAAGTCATGTGTTGCTGCTCAGGTTGTGCACTACACAAGTCCAGGGGGCCACCATAAGGCCACAAAGTCAGCCACATCCCTTGGATTGTGCAGGTAGGAAATACTGTGTTAGGAGCCTCTGACACAAAGCCTGGCACCTAGTAAGTGCTGAATCATGGTGGCCAAAAAGTCAGGCTTATTAATCATACTTTCAATTCACAAAGGGAAAACCACCTAGCCTTCAGCAGGCATAATAGTTTCAGAGTAGAAAGTTGTAGCCATGGTAATATATGAGGCAACTTCAGAGGTGACAGGGATATGATGTCCTCAGGGAATGTATTTTCATTGTTTTTTAGAGCCCAGAGCTCCAGAAGTTGGTCATGCTTACTGGACATTTTCTTGTGAGTAATCAGAAAGCTTGTAGTGCTCGGACGTATGTGCTCTTGAAGCCATTTTGTCTTAATGAGGTGAGGTTTGATTTAAGTGGAGAGTAATTGTCTTTCCCTATTAAAATAATGTTTTTTCCTTAAATGAAAACATAATGCACAGGAGGAGTCCCAGTGAGATAGCCAGGTCTTACCAAATCTGCCTATAGTGAAGTCCAGCAGCCGGCAAGTCACACTGACAAGCAGAGAACTTCTAATCAGCAGTTCCGAGCCTCTGTCCTAGATGTCCATCAGATATTAAGGGACAGATTTCTGGAAGACAGAGACTAAAACAACAATCGAAAAGAAAAGAAAAGAAAGGAAGGGAGGAAGACAGGGGTGGTGGAGGGGAGAGAGAGGACGGGAGGAAGGAAGGTCGGAAGGAAGGAAAGAAAGAAGGGAAGAAAATGGAAGAAAGGGAAGGAGGAAGGAAGGAAAATTAACTCAATTAATTCAAAGCTAGAGGCAAAATAACACTTCCCCCAAACTTGTAATTAGTAGCCATAATGAGAAGATTTTACAACTATAAAACAAGGACAAAGGCTCATAAAAAGAGAAGACGAACAAGAAAAAAACACCTGGAAATTAAAAATGTGAGAGCAGAAATTAAAATGCACTTGATAAATGAGGTGATACAGTCGAGGACATACCCTAGAAATTCAAACACAAGAACAGAGTTGGAAAATGAAAGAGAATGATATGGTCTGTCTGATGGTCCAAGTCCAAATAATCAAGAGAGAAAATGGAGGGGAGGAACAAGCAATAGAACATTTCCTAGGACTGAAATAAGTAAGCTTCCAGATTGAAGAGGTCTTCAAAGAACCTAGCATAAAGGAGGAATTCTCACATCAAAGCCTGGCAATCCAAAATTTCGTATCACCAGAAATAAAGAAGATCGCAAAAGCTGTTAAGGAGAAATAGAGATCAGAATGGCATTCAACTAGAAGACTACAAAACAGTGCTTTCAAACTTCAGAAGGAAAATGATTGCCAATTTGAATTCTGTAACCCGCCAAATTATCAATCAGGAATGAGTATAGAATAGACACATTTTCAGAAATGCAGGGTCTTAAAGATTTTACCTCTTATGTACCTTCTGAAAGAAGTTACTGAAAGATGTGCTCCATCAAAATGAGGGAGTAAACTGAGGAAGACGAGTGGAATCAGCAAGTCATCCATTGCAGCGTAAGACAGTGGAGAAAGGGAATTTTCAGGAGGATGGAAGAGAGAAGACCAGGAAACAGCTGAAGAGGAAAACCAATTCAGAACAGAGTAGGAGAAGGGCGGTGTCCAGGCAGAGGGACTCTCAGAGTAAAAAATGAAAGTAGTAGATTATCCGACATGGTTGACTGTGCGAAGAGACATTCCATAGTTGTACAGAGGTTTCACCAGAAATTTGAAGAACACCAAACAGTTTTTAAAAGCAGTTAAGTACAGTAAAAATAAAACATCATACAATAACCTCCTATAAGAATTATTAAAATTTTTTCTCCATAATATCTCTTCACATATTATAGCACTTTTCAGATAAGAATTTTCTACCTTTCATTTTATTTTTGCTTTTGAGACAACAAAATCTTACCCAGAAGCACACTAAATATATATGCCATAAGAAGTGATAGTTTGACAGTATAATTTTAGGCAGTGACACACTTGCCAATTGATTCAACAGTTTCCAGTCAGAGACTAGGGTATTGGACCAATGTGAGATACTTACTATGTTTGAATGAGCCTCAAATGCTTTGTTATGCAAGGACTGCCAAACAAGAAGGACCTTCTACAACACTTCAGTCTATTAAGGGTGCATGCTCTTTCCTTGTGTTTCCAAGCACTCTCATCTTTAGCTTTCATTTAGTCCTAGGAGCATCTTTACCGGTACTCCAACTTCAAGCGCAGCTTGAGTGAAAGATATTCATGAGCCCAAAAAGTTTGGTGAAGAAAATGGTACAGCAAGAACATACCTTCCAGAGAATGACTCTTGCCCGTCATGCGCTTAAGTCTATTCTTCTTCCTTTGGTGAGTAAAATAAGCCTTCATTACATCACATTGTATATGCATAATGTGTATACAATATATATATACACACACACACAAACTGTATTTACTGTCAAGTTATCGTGTATTATTTATTTAAACTTGTTTTTATTGTTCAATTGATTTATTTTTCTACCTGTGAAAAATGTTTGGGCACCTGGGGTTGCATTGGGATGCATCAATATTTTCCCCATTAAAATTAATGGCATTTTTTTTTCATTCATTTAACAGCTTTTCACTTATTTGTAGGGTTTTCAGGATCAAGTTAAAAATCTGTAAAAAGAATGGGTATTTAGGAAATGAAATGTAAATACACTACTTGGCTCAGCAGTGAACAATATTTACATGGTCCCAATCGTGAAAACAACAAATATGAATTTAGTAAAAGTGATGATTTAAGCCAAACGGGTGAGAGTGCTATATCAGAGCTGAATCTTCGTCTTTCTTATTAGGAAGTCAACATATGATATATAAATCTGGAAAGTCAAAAATAGCAATACTAACAAGTGATTTAGAAAAACAGAAGTGCTAGAAGCAGCATCTAAAAGGGTTAAAAGTGGTTGCCTCTGGAAATGAGGACTTGGGGAAGCTTTATCATAAGCTTCAAAGGACTGCTTGACTTTTTAAAGTAGGCAATAACTTTGATAAAAATTTAAATTATGTTTAATAAATATATAATAAATATTGGAAAAAGCTCAGAAAATACAAATATGGAAAGAGAATAAAATAAAAGCCATTCGTAACATATAAACCCAGAAAAGCCTGTCAAGAGACACTAGTTTTGAGGTTTGAATCTCTCTACATACATATAGGCACATTTTTTAAAAGTGTGAGATTGTGTCGTTAATATTGTTTTGCAACGTGCATTTTCGCACACAGTCACTGTAGGGAATTTTTCCATATCAATATTCATCTACTACATCATTTTAATGGCTGCATATTTCCCATCATATGGATATACTATAATTTATTTAATTCAACTCAACGTTAACCACTAATTATTCAACCAGCCTAATTCTTCCAGCAAAGACATGCAACTTTAACTTATTTTGGAAAGATAGCAAAAAGGAATTTTCTCTACTCTGTGTTCGATTGTTGTCTTCAATAATTTCTATTTTGCTTTACTAGCAAAGTAGTTAGAGATTTCACTTGCTCTGAGATTTCCCCTTGACTATCCACACTGTTTCTTTTGGAAATTCTCTCCCATTGAAATTGTAAATGGAGTGCACATGTGGTACACGGCTGCTCTTGCCTGTCTGTGTCCTTTTTTTGTCTTTAGATAACAGCACCTCAGTTTTCCTTGGTAGAATCCCTTCTCCTTCCTCCCACAACGCTCAGCCCACGTGGTTTGGGTGAAACTGACCCACCTTCATATCTGGAAGGTGAGTTCAGCCTAGTTCTTCTTTCTAGCCTCAGTGAATGGTTCAGGGGTGGACATGTGCACAGAACTGATTCAAGGAGAGTCAACTCCAGACTTTCATTGGAACCTTTAGGAAGGAGGAACTCTCTTTCTTCTCACTGGGATTGCTGAGCTGAGAAAAGGGCAAATCTGGAGTGGCTGGAGGCCATTGGCCATTACAAAGGGAGAGCCTGCCTCGGGATAAAGCCAAAGAGCAAGAAATATGAACCAAGAGATGCAGAAAGTCAGATTCCTGCCGACACGTTTTGTGCACCTGGATCCAGCACTGCCTGGTGTCCTTAGCCATAGTTGTATGAATTAACACATTTCCCCTTTTCCCTTAATCTTTTGAGTTGGGGTTCTGTCATCTGGGGTTCATACATCTATGTGTATAACATAGACTCAAAGTCAAATAATTTAAACAGAACAGAAAACCATAAGGTGAAAATTAAAAATTTTCCTCCTTACCCCCTCAGTTCTCAGTTTAGACTCCCCAGAGGCTGTCACTCCTTACAGTTTCTTTCACATGCTTCCAAAATGTGTCTGTCCATTTACAAATATACCAATTTTTGAAGATATACAAACAGGATTATACTATGCTGTCCTGCAATTTGTGTTTTCTACTTTGCCATGAGGTGAATGACACCTTCCCTCATCACATCCTGACATCTAGTTCATTTATCCTAAGACCTGCAAAGGATTCTATTATAGGGACAGCTCATATTCCAACCAGTCCTGTACTGATGGCCAATTAGGTTCACTTGATTTTTCACCATTAAAAAGAAGCTGTGCTGAGCATTCTTCTCATATAGTTATACGTGGCAAATGTGCTTCTGGTCCCTCGTTACCCAGACTCCTTCCAGGGGCTACATTTAGTGGGGTGTGTGTAAGTAGTTGCTAGCTGCACAGTGTAAGAATAGCTTCCAGAAATACTCCAGCTACCCACAGTGCCAACTCACAGGGGTCAAGATACAAAGGTACAGGCCATAGATCATTATTCAGTAAAAACATGTGTGAGGATAACAGGACAGAATTATGTAGGGAGTGGAAGGGAAATGGTCTGAAATGCACAGAGCCAGAAGCTAGTTTGTAGAAAATTCTTCCAGTCATCAGAGGTATGAAAGTGGTTTTGTTTCTCACCAAAATCTGTTAGAAACATACTTGATAATGCAGCATATATAGACTCCTATAAATGTACCATGTTTTTTTTTCTTTTTTGATGAGAATCATAGAGAATAGAATATATTAAAACTGCTGTCTTTGTAGGGCCCAAATGTGTACAAGTACTGCAAACAGTGAGTATGTCTGTGGGAAGCAGCATGTTTTATGCATCAAAGCTATCAATAACAATAAAAAAAACAAGTTTCAATTTACCATGCTATAGGAACAAGTGAATTATCTTCTTATTCTCTTTATTAAAAAAATTTCAAAATTGTCATCATATGAATAAGGAGTGATCAAAGAAAATGTAGCTAAAAATAAAAGGTAGGAAAGAAAGCATAGTAAGAGTGCATCATACTCAAATTAATAAAAATATGATGTTACTTTTCTGAATTTTGTGATGCTTTTGTTATTTGTCACCTTTTTAGAATGCATAATTTTTGTAAGTTTTTTCTCATTGTACATAAATATTCATTTTTGTGCCTGACTTGTAATTGTATGAGCTTCAGACTCTACAAAACTTGGATTCATCCCTGCATAGTGTCTGAACATATAGTGTCTGGAGTTAGACTGTTCAGCTTCAAATCTCAGGTGAGCCATTGTTGCAGACTGAATGTTTGTGTCCTCCAAAATTCATATGATGAAACCTAATCTCCAGTATGATAGAATTTGGAGATGAGGCCTACGAGAGGTGACTAGGTTATAAGGGTGGAGCCTTCCTGAATGAGGTTAGTGCCCTAACAGACCACTCTGTTGCCCCTTCCACCATCTGAGGACACAGCCAGAAGGTAGCCATCTATGAATCAGAGAGAGAGAGCTCTCATCAGAACTCAACCACGCTGGCACCTTGATATTAGGCTTCAGACTCCAGAACTGTGAGAAATAAATTTCTGTTGTTAATAAGCTATCCAGTCTATGGTATTCTGTTACAGCAGCTCAAGATCAAGACTAAGATGGCCATCTGCCAGTTCTGTGACCCAGGGAAGTTTACTCCACTTCTCTGTGCCTCAGTTTCCTACCTAAAAAAAATGGGGTTAATAACCTCAGAGGGTTGTTGTGAGGATTAAATGAATTAATACCTATATAGAACCTAGAACCTGGCAATCAGTAATAGTCAATAACAACTATGGTTATTTCTTATGCACTTGTGCAGATATCTCAGCAGGATAGGTTCCTAGAAGTGTAAGTGCAATTATATTAATTTTAATAAAGAATGTGCCAGGGCTTCCCTGGTGGCGCAGTGGTTGAGAGTCCGCCTGCCGATGCAGGGGACACGGGTTCGTGCCCCGGTCCGGGAGGATCCCACATGCCACAGAGCGGCTGGGCCCGTGAGCCATGGCCGCTGAGCCTGCGCGTCCGGAGCCTGTGCTCCTCAACGGGAGAGGCCACAACAGTGAGAGGCCGTGTACAGCAAAAAAAAAAAAAAAAAAAAAAAAAAAAAAGAATGTGCCAAACCGCATCCCAAAAGCAATGCCAGCTTACCCTCCCATTATGTACATAGTGACATACATCAGAGCTGTGGAGTCAGGAAGCCCTTCCCAGATGAACTTATGGCTGTGGTCCTTACCACGTTCCACACTAGTCCAGTTCCCTGAACCCTGTCCAAGCCAAGTTGGTCAGTGGCTGCTGGGAATGGTAGGCCCTGCTCCTAATTAACCCATCCTGCAAAGCCTATGAGTAGCTGCCATTTACCAAGCACCTTCCCTTCATTGAGCTCAGCAGCCCTGTAGGTTAGGCAGGGTGAAGCCGAGGTTATTCTTTTATGAAAGATAAAATTGTGGCTCAGAGAGGTAAGGGACCCATGTGAAGTCACCCCAGCAGGTAAGAACCAGGGAGAGGAACAAGAATCCAGGTCTTCTAAAAACCTAATGCTTTTCCTATTATACCTTGTTGCTTCTCAAATATCTTTCCATTAATGAAACATACTCTTTATAAAGAAATATATTCATAGTGAAATATGAAGCTTTCTCCAAGTTAGTTGTGAAGAGCAAGCATTATGACTATATCATGTACTAAGAGTGTGCTTCTAAGAAAAATAAATTTAATTGCAGCCTCATGATTCAAATCAAATCCACCTTGCTTTAAATCTTCAATTATGGTAAAATATAGCTGTAGAGAATGTGCTTTCCATCCTAAGCACCTTCTGTACTTCTACCTTTAAAAACCTACCTCCCCCATCCCCCAGTCTTGTTATCTTCTCTTCGACTTGCCAAACAAATCTTCTCCAAAAAACAGAACTGATTAAATGCCTAAGGGAAGGAAGTGAAGAACTCAAAATTAGTAGAGTCTGTTCCCACATGTTCAGGCTAATTTAACTTTTCTCACATGACAAATTAGAAAGGAAAAGAAAAATTTGCCTAGAAGGACAATTAAGAATAAACTAGAGGTGTCCTCTGTCCCAAATTAGAACAGGATTCCATAATTTTGTTTTACAGGCATGACATGCAGGAGGAACTAATGGGTGGATGCTTTTGTTCTCCGGTGTCACCCAGCAAGTGGGAGCTTCAGCACAAAGTGAGGATTAGCCCATGATGAAATGTGCCTCAGGCCTTCTCTTCAGCAAGCTGGGCTAACTACCATGTCACATACTGTCTAGCTTGTGGAAAATGTGAAAATGCCCAGGGCCCATGAAAGTTCGGTCAAGTCTATCGATAGATGATAGATAGGTAGATAGATAGATAGATAGATAGGTAGATAGATAGATAGATAGATAGATAGATAGATGGTAGATATAGATAGATAGATAGATAGATAGATAGGTGATAGATGAGTCAATGAAACAATGAGAGGCTCCTCACCAGAGGGATTTATCTGAATACGCAACACGATGGCTCCCAGGCCATCTTCTAGCTCACCAACCCTAGTAATTTCTAGTGACTATCTCCTTCCTCAAAGCTCTAAGAATACTCAAAAGACCTGCTCTGCAAGTACAATTATGGGGGTAGATTTTTAATGTGCAGGACTTGGTACACAGTAGCCACTTATTACTCCAGCTGCCACAGGAAGTTTCTTTCTCTCCTTGGCAAAGCAAAGATGCCTACACATAGAGATTCCCAGCTGCTGACAGCCTTAAATTATCCAGAGATTTGCCTTTCAGAATGAGCTTTACAAGAGCTCAAAGGTCAATTAACCCTAAATAAGAACTGGCAAGCTCCCTACCCACTTCCTGGTGAACCAGAAGAAGAGAGAAGATATACAATAGGGTCTGAAGTTTTGAGCATCTTGTTGAAACATCAACTATATATATTTTTTAAATAATAGGTAATAGAAATTGACTCTGGCTAATTTAATTAAAATGAAATGCTAGCATTTATTGAAAGGACTTATGATAGCCTAGAGAATCCCAGGAAAAGCTAAACATAAGAACTTCTTCAGGAGTAGAAACCCCAGTAGCTCTGGGAATCTGGAGAGCAGGAATCCCGTAGCTCTGGGAAATGGGCAGTACATCAAAGAACTGTCTTGGAGAAAGGGCTTTTCAAATTATTTTCCCATCAGGCTCCTTACCTGTTGGGTGAGAACATTCGATTAGTTCAACCTTGACCACGGGGACAGAGGACACAGGGGAAGCCTGTCTGTATACAGTGTCACAGGAGTTATTCCCCAAAGGCCAGCTGCTATTATTTTTTAAAGGCCAAAGAGATGTGGGCAAACAAAAGCAACAGGAATTCATTATGCTTAGTTTCTGTCTGTAACCCAAAGAAAAATGTATGCCAAACCTTCCAAATGTTTCAGGCCCAACACATGAAACGCCCAGTGTTCTATTTCCAGGAACTACAGATCATACACAGGAACAAACTTTCCCCATCCCTAGGTCATATATCAAGGACAAGATCTACACCTTTGAAGGGGATAAAGGGTTTGGTTTACAGACAAGTGAACAGCCAAGTGCTGTGTAGTAAGAGCCATGAGAGGGAAGTGCAGGGTAACACAGCAGGGGTGCCTGGCCTGGCCTGGACTCGGGGAGGGGCAAGGAGGAGTCAAGAGTGGGTGAGAGGTTGGCAGTCTATAAAGAATGGGATGTCTGAGGGCAGGAAAAGGAGCATGTGTTACCGTGGAGGGGTGCTGAAAGTGGTTCTATTTGTCTGAACTACTGGTCCCAGTACTTCACTCTCTGCTGGCTCAACCTTGCCCTGGGTAGGATGAAGAGTACTTCTTTCTGTGTTGACTTTGACTTGGCCATGAAATTGGTAGATGTGTCAGAGTGCCAATCATTTTTTTTTTTTTTCACAGTGCTAATCTTAAGAGGCATCTTAAGAGCCTAGGTCTTAGGCATTGGGTGTTCCACTCACCTGCATGAGTTTCTGCCACTGCCATAAGAAGAACATGCCCCAACTGCTCTGCTGGTCCAAGGAGGATGAAAAAACACATGCAGCATGGCCTTCAGGCCAATCCACAGAACTGCATCTAAAGGTAGAGCCACTCAGCCAAGCCCAGTCTAGATCACGCACCCCAGCTGCCACAGCCGGAAGCAGAATTACTCCAGCTGACCTTCAGATCCACGAGAATAAATGATGGAGGGAGGGTTCGAGCCACTGAATGTGGGGATGGTTTACTATGCAGCATTACTGCGACAAGGGCTGAGGGATATAGGAGTGACAGTAAAAAAAAAAAAGCCTGAGAAGGGACTGGAGAGGTAAGCAGAGGCCTAATCGTCAAGGACTCTCTAAGCCTATTAATTTGAACTTTTATCTTAAGGGCAACGGAGTCCACTGAAATGTGTTAAGTAGGGAAGTTACACAGTCAGGTTTCCCTTTTAAAAAGCTCACTCTGAGGGTCTGTAAGGCAGACAGGGTTGGAGGGGGCACCAGGAGAGATTTCCTAAAGTTCTCAAACTAACAGTTTTCCAAAGTGTACAATTTTACGCATTTTTCTTCCAGTATATGGCTTTCCTATTGACTTTTTAAATGGTATCTTTAATGGTTAATTTTTATAAGATCCAACTTATTAAATTTTCTTTTATGGCTACTGCTTTCTGTGTCTTTTCTAAGAAATCTTTGCCTTTCTCAAATTAGGGATGATATTCTATTTTTTTTCCTAGAAGCTATATAGTTTTAGCTTTTAAATTTAGGTCTATGATCTGCAGTGAACTAATTTTGGGCTATGTTGTAAGGTAGTATCAGGATTCATTTTTTCCCCATATAAATACCCAGTTATTTTGGCACCTTAAAAATGAAGATTTTTTTCTTTCCCCATTGAATTGCCTTAGCTTGGATATGAAAACTTCATTGGCCATATATGTTTCGATCTCTTTCTCTATTCCCTATCTGTTCCACTGATCTATTTTTCTATTCTTACACCATGTTGTATTTTTTTTTAATATTTATTTATTTATTTATTTGGCTACACTGGGTGTTAGTTGCAGCATGTGGGATCTTCATTGCGGCATGCGGGATATTTTGTTGTGGCGCGCAGGCTCTTTGTTGCGGTGCATGGGCTTCTCTGGTTACAGTGCGTGAGCTCCAGAGAGTGCCGGCTCAGTAGTCGCGGTGCATGGTCTTAGTTGCCCTGCAGCATGTGGGATCTTAGATGCCCAACCAGAGATCGAATCCGTGTCCCCTGAATTGTAAGGCAAATTCTTAACCACTGGACGACCAGGGAAGTTCCACACCACATTGTCTTGATTACTGTAGCTTTATAAAAGATTTGAAATCAGGTGATATGTCATTCAACTATGTACTTTTTCAAGATTATTTGACTATTCTAGGAGCTTTGCATTTCCACGTAAATTTTAGAATCAGCTTGTCAATTTATACTCTCCCCGCCAAAAGGACTACTGGGATGGTTATTGTGATATTTCCATAGATTAACTGACATCTTAACAATGTTGAATCTTCCCATTCTTGAACATGAAATATCTATTTATTCAGATCTTCAATATTTCTCAACAGGATTTTGTAGCTTTCTACATAGAGGTTTTAAATATCTGTCATTGTCTTTGTCCCTAAGTATTTCAATTTTTTGATGCTAAGGTAAGTGATATTGAGTTTTTCATTTTATTTTCCAATGGTTTGTTGTTCTTTTACATGAATGCAATTGATTTTTGTATATTGGCCTAGTATCTTGCAATCTTTCTAATGTTACATAGCTGAGATAAACTCTACTTGGTAATAATGTATTACATCCTTTTAAAATATTACATTAATTTAGTTAAGAAATTTTGCATATAGGCACAGGAGGGATATCGGTCTGTAACTCCTTCCTTGCAATGTCCTTAACCCTAACCCTTTCTGGAGTTATGCAGGACTCATAAAATGAGTTAAAAAGTGTTCCCTCCTCCTAAATGAGGTCATGTGGACCTGGAGTTTCCTGTGGCAAAGGCTTTTAATTACAAATTTAATTTCTTTAGCAGAGAGTTATTCATATCCTGTATTTTTTATTTTGTGATTTTTATGTGCCTTTTAAAGAATTTGTCAATTAAAAATTTTCTAATTTATTGACATGAGGTTATTAGATAGTCTTTTATCTGTCTTTTAATGACTATAGAGTCTACGGTGGTGTCTTACATTTCCTTCCTGATATTGGTAATTTGTGTTTTCTTTTTTTCTTGATTAGTCTAGCTAGAGGTCTATTTTATTACTCTTTCCAAAGAAAACTTTTGGCTTTGTTGATTTTCTCTATTGTTTGTCTACTTTTTAGTTCACTGATTATTATTACTGAAAACTATTATTCACTACTTTTTATTATACTCTTTATCATTTCTTTTTATTTATAATAGGTATAATTTATTCTTCCTAGTTGCTTAAGATGGAGGCTTAGGTAATTGATTTAGGCCTTCTTCTTTCCTCATATAAGCATTTAAGACCATAAATTTTACTGTAAATACTTCTTTAGCTAAATCTCACAAATTTGGATATGTTGTGGTTTTATCAGCAGGTCAAAATATTTTCTTTTCTTGTGATATCTTCTTTGATTCATGGATTATTTAGATGTGTATGGCTTAATTTTAAAATATTTAAATTGGCCAGAGATCTTTTTGTTCTTGATTTTTATTTTAATTCTCTTATTGTCAAAGTATACCCTCTTTATGATTGTAATCCTTTGAAATGTATTAAGATGTGTTTCATGGCCCAGCTTATGGTCTATTTTGGTGAATGTTCCAAGTACATTTGAAAATAATACATATTCTGCAACTGTTGATTAGTATTTGATAAAATGCCAGTTATGTTTATATTGTTGATAGTCCTCTATATCTTTTCTGATGTTTTATATGTTTATGTTATATGTTTATGTTATATGTTTATATAACATACAACAATTCTTAAGAGAGGAGGGTAAACTTCTTCAACTCTTATTGTGGATTTGTCTATTTCTCCATTCAGTTCTATCAGTTTTGCACTCATGCATTTCGAAGCTTTGTTATTGGGTATATATACATTCAGGAATTGTACGTCTTCTTAATGAATTGACTTTCTTGTCATTATGTAATGTCCTGCTTTATACCTTACAATTGTTCTTGACTTTGTCTGATAATATGGCCACTCCTGCGTTTTCACAATTAATCATTACATGGTTGTCTTTTTCTATTCTTTTCCTTTTAGCTTGTACACGTCTTCATATTTACAGTGTGTCTCTCATAAACATTGTATAATTGGGTCTCATTAAAATCCCATCTGGCAGTATTGTTCATTTTATTAGACTGTTTAGTCTATTTAGATATAAAGTAATCAGTGATTTAGCTGGGTCTAATTCTACCATCTTGCTATTTATTTTCTCTTTGCCCTATTCATGCTCTTTTTCTTATTTCCCTCTTTTCCTTCCTTTTTTTGGATCTATTAAATGTGTTCTAGTATTCCATTCTATCTTCTCTATTGGCTTTTTAGCTATGCTTCTTTGTTTTAATTTTTAGCAGTTGCTCCAGGGATTAAAATAAACATATCAGTCTACCTGTGATAATGAATTAACTTTATACCACTTCACATATAATGTAGCGACCTCACACAGTATACTTTTATTTGTTGCTAATACACCCTGCTTCTAAATAGGTTATATACCTCACAGTACTTTGCTAATGTTTTTGGTTTAAGCAGTCAAATGTCTTTTTAACAAATTTCTAAAATGAGAAGAATGTCTTTTATATTTTTACCCAACAAATTTTCTATTTCTTGTTCTCTTCTTCATATAGATCTGATAACTTATGGAATCATTTTCTTTTCGCCTGGAGAACTTACTTTAATATTTCTTAGGGTACATGTATGCTAGTAAATAATCCAACTTTTGCTTATCTGAAAATGTCTTTATTTACTTTTTTTTTTAAGGCTGTTTTTGCCAGATACAGAATTCTAGGTTGACTGGGAACTTTTTGTTTTCATTTATTTAGAACTTCAACGATGTTGCCCCATATCTTCTGGCTGGTTTTATGTCTGATGAGAAATCAGCAGTATTTCTTATCATCGTTCCTTTGTATGGAACCTTTTTTCCTCTGGCTGCTTTTAAAATGTTCTTTATATTTGGCTTTCAGCCATTTGTTTATGAAATGACTAGGTGTGGTTTCCTTTGTGCTTATCTTGAGTAAGTTCCATTGAGGTTTTTTTTATTTGAATGTTGAAATTTTGTCACCTAATTTGGGGAAATATTGCTCATTATTTCTTCCATTTTTTTTTCCTTGCCTCATTTTTTCCTTTCTTCTTCTATGAAGACTCCACTTACACTCATATTATACTACTTGATATTTTTCCACAGATCACCAAGTCTTTGTTCATTTTGTAAGATCCTTTTATTTTCTCTGTTTCAGTTTAGATAGTATTTGTTGATCTGTTTTCAAGTTCACTAATCTTTTCTTCTGCATTGTCCATTCTAATGAAGTTTTTCATTTCATAAATTATGTTTTTCAGTTCTATAGTTTCCACTTGTTTCTTTTTAAAGTCTCTCTTTCTCAATTGAGATTTCTATATTGAGATGTCCATCTTTTCCTTTAAATTCTTGAACTTATTTGTAATGGCTGTTTTATAATCATTGGCTGCTACTGACTACATCTGTGTCATCTCTGGGGCTGTTCCTATTGACTTTATTCTCCTGGTTATGGGTCACACTTTTTTAAAAAATTTATTTATTTATTCATATAGTTTTGACTGTGTTGAGTCTTCATTGCTGCGCTCGGGCTTTCTCTAGTTGCAACAAGCAGGGGCTACTCTTCGCTGCGGTGCATGGGCTTCTCATTGCAGTGGCTTCTCTTGCACAGGCTCTAGGCATGCGGGCTTCAGTACTTGTGGCTCTCAGGCTCTAGAGTACAGGCTCAGGAGTTGTGGAGCACAGGCTTAGCTGCTCCGCAGCCTGTGGGATCTTCCCAGACCAGGGCTTGAACCTGTGTCCCCTGCACTGGCAGGTGAATTCTTAACCACTGTGCCACCAGGGAAGTTCCGGGTCACATTGTCTTGCTACTTTGCATGTCCAGTAATTTTTCTGAATGCTGGACATTATGAATGCTACAATGTTGAGTTTGCTTTATGCTGTTTTCTTTTAAAGAATGTTGAGTATTGAGTGTTGAGTATTGCTTTGGCAAGCATTTAATTCAACTTTGATCCTGTTGAGGCTTGTTTTTTGGCTTTGTTAAGGTGGGTCAAGAATAGTCCACATGCTAGGTCTGGAGTAGTCCTATTCCTTGGATCGGACGTTCTGGGGTCTCAGCTAAATGCCCAGAGTGTTCAGTAACATATCTACACTGAGACTGGCCAGAAGCCCAATGTCCCCCATCACTGTGTAACCTCAAGAATTTCCATCAGTTCATTGTCTCTCCGTAGCCATTCTCTGCCCAACCATGCAGGGTCTTGCCTTGCACATGTACAGCTTTGTATTTGGCCAAAGCCTAAAGGGCGCATGAATGCAGATTTCTGGGGCAACTTATCTGTTCAGTTCTTTCTTCTTTAATACCCTATCCCATCCATTCCAGTCACCGCAGCAGCCTGAACCCTGTTGTCACCACCCAGTGAGACCACTGCTGTCTTTTAATATCTACTTTCTCATGCCGCCATTTGGAGCATGTCCCATGGCAGAAAGCTAGACTGAACGTGGGACTCACTTCATGGGTTTCCTTTGCTTAAGGTTTACTGGCTGTGTTTTTTGGAAATCTTTACAAACACTGAGTAATGCTCTTGGCACATATTAGGTGCTTAGTAAGATGGTTTTTAAGGAGGAGGGTGTGATTATTTTGGCTCACCTAAGTCCTACTTCTGGAAATACGCACAAGGCTTATCAAGTGTTCTATCCAGAGACTCAATCTCTATCTCCTCCTCCCACTCCCAGTTCCCCCTCAGGGTAATCAACTTTCTCTTCAGAAGCTGGCAGGCAGTTTTTTGCACATTTGGGTTACTCAGTTTGAGAGGTTTGAGCATTTGGAGAATGATTAGAATTACATTCATCCACAGTTAAGAGGCACACTGTTCTCTGGGGGATTTGATACGCTTTTTCCAAATTAGCTAAATGCTCTCTGGAAGAATTATTGGTGGGAAGGGGAGGCTGTGAATAACCTAGCATAAGTCATCATTCGGAATGTAGCCTTGAAGCCTCCCATGTAGCTTCTCACGTTACCAAGAAAAGAGCTTCTGAGGTTGTTCAAAGAGGGATGCTGAAGAGAGGAAGAAGGCAACTCCAGTGGGACCTCCTGGGAGGGGAAGACCGGCTGGAGGAGGCGCTTGGGCAAAAGAAATCCCCAACAAATGCCTCCTGGCTCTTTTTATTCACCACAAACACCCAACTCCACCTCATCTTCCTGGGGCCCATTTTCTGGACCCCAGGCCATTTTCTTTTGTTTCCATCTTGACTGGGAAGATCAGGTCTCCAGAGAGAGGATTATTTCAAGACTGCTTTGGCGATTACATTTGGATTTTTCACATTTCACCATTCTCTATCATTCTGCACACCCCACCCTCACCCCATATACACACTACATAATCAATGCCATCCTCCTTTCTGCAAAAGATGCATCATTTGGCTTTGTGGCTTAATGACCCCATTCTTGCCTTCGAGACAATGAATGGACAATTTGAGTTTGGAATTCCTATAGTTTGACCAATGGAACTAACCCTCTAAGATTTCCTGTTCACCAACAACACCACTCTCCCCAGGCCTGCATTTTAGTTCAAAAGCACAAGACAAACAAGGGATTGAAATGACTAAATGTGTGAGAGTTTTAATTTTCCTCTGGGGGAAAAAAAACAAGTTATGATTTTCCTCCAAGCAAACAACCTATTTTCCATATGTTTCCAAGAAAAAACTGCTTTTCAGTTATTCTGCACGTTCCATGGATGATTCCAGTGGGGAGAGCCTAGGAGATCCAACCTCAGCACGTTTTCTCTTGTTGCAGGGAAAATATGTTTTCCAACTCATAGTCTCTGTGTTCTAGTAATTGGGCTTGGGGTGCCCACTTCAATTCCACTTCTGAAAGGGAGCCAGAGAATGAGGAGGAGCAGGGTTTGGTTTCCACAAGCTGTGAGGGCCACTGGGTAGGGGCGCAGTGAGGCCTGGCCTCATGGGCCTGAGGAGGCTGCTGTTCCATACCCCTGTCCCTGGCCCCAGGGTAGATGAGGGGGTATTGTGCCTTCTGCAGAAAGATGGTCTAGAATAACTTCTACAGTGGAACCTCTGGAGTCTGGCTCCTGAGACATCTGTAGCCCCCACTCTCAAAGCATGGAGCAAGGATCTAGGGTGGCCCTTCTAATCCTTGCTAGACTATTAAAAACACCTGACCTTGTCGTTCTCCTATTTCAGTACCTTCAATAGTTCCCCCATTGCTTTTAGGATAAAGTCCATACTCCCCAGATTTTCTCGCAAGGGAAGTTCTCAATAACCTGGTCCTACTGTATTTTTACGTCATCTCTCATTACTCCCTCTGCAATCCTCTCTCTACTCCACTCCCCAGGCCCTGCCGCTTTCTCCTCTCCAGCACTCAGAAGTGTTTGCAGTCCCTTGAATGAACTGGACTTTCTTTCCGCTTGGGATGTTGTTCCTGAGGATGGGAACAATTCACACATGCTCCACCTTGAGGACTCCCGGTCATACTTCAAATCTCAGTGTAGGATTGCTTCCTCCAGGGAGCCTTTCTTCCAGACTGGAGTGGGTGTCCCTGCTACTTGCTGCCATAGTGCACTGTGCTTACCACATCCCAGCTGTTCATTGACAAGTACTCCTGAGCATGTCTATGTAGCAGCCACTGAGCTAGGCTCTGGGGATACAGTGGAAAGAAAACAGTAATAAACAAGTAAAAGAAGCAAATAAGTGGGGAAATACCATTTGTACTAAGTACTGGGAAAGAAGAGGATATAGAAATGGAAAATAAGGAGTGAGGTAAAGATTACCTATACTATTTTATGCTAACTTCCTCTTTACCTCTCTGCCTTTTCATTAGACAGCAGTTCCTCTAAAGTGGAGGTTTATATTAATCACCTCTTTATTTCTACTGCACAGCACAGGACATGGCATATAGAAGGCACTCGATAAGAGTTTGGGGTTTGAATCATAGCCATTTTCTGCACCATTTCTAGGCTTATTTTCAACTCTGCTGAAAAGTGGAAATGTCAAATCTTTTTCCAGGAGGGGTAAACTGGGTAATTAAAGGGACAAAGAACAAAGACACTGGCTCATTTGGGAATCAACCTCCAAATCTGCCATGCACCTATCATTATTCATAGAATAGGAGAATGTTTTAATATATGTCCTTGGAGAGAGTGGCCAAGATGGTGGAGTAGAACGACCCTGAGCTTACTGCCTCTCACGAGGACAACAAATTCACAACTATCTACAGAGCAACCATTGATGAAAAAGACTAAAATACGTCCTCAAATTCTTTGACAACACTCCCTCAAAAGATGTAGCCGAATTCTTCTCCCCTTGAAAGTGTGCTGGTCTTGGTGACTGACTTTTTGTTTTTAATTTATTTATTTATTTATTTTTGGCTGCACTGGGTCTTCGTTGCTGCACACGGGCTTTCTCTAGTTGTGGTGAGTGGGGGCTACTCTTCATTGAGTTGCGTTGGGCCTCTCACTGTCGTGGCCTCTCTTGTTGCAGAGCACGGGCTCTAGGCACATGGGCTTCAGTAGTTGCGGCACGCAGGCTCAGTAGTTGCGGCTCATGGGCTCTAGAGCGCAGGTTCAGTAGTTGTGGTGCACGGGCTTAGTTGCTCTGCAGCATGTGAGATCTTCCCGGACCAGGGCTCGAACCTGTGTCCCCTACATTGGCAGGTGGGTTCTTAACCACTGCACCACCAGGGAAGCCCTCAGTTGGCTTTAAAATGGAAGATTATTCTGGATTAGCTGGGTGGGCCCAATGTAATCACATGATCCCTTCAAAGTAGAAGAGGAAGGCAGAAGGGAAAGTCAGAGATATTCAAAAAGCAAAAGTGATTTAACATGCTGTTTTTCACTTGAAGATGGAGGGGCTATGTAAGAATGAATATGAGTGGCAGCTGACAGCCAGCCAACAACAAAGACCTCAGTCCTACAACCTCAAAGACTGGATTCTGCCGACACCTTGAATGAATTTGAAAGTAGAATCTTCCCCAGAGCCTTCAGATAAGAGCCCTGATGGCTGATTTCAACTTTGAAATCATCTTGATTTCAACTTTGGAGTATACTGAACAGAACCCAGAAGTGCCCGCCTGGATTCTTCACCTACGGAAATGTGACAGAGTAAGTAGTATTGTTTTAAGCTGCTGAGTGTTTATTACACACCACTAGAAAACTAGCAATATCTAAGTGCTTTTATTTTTTTAATGTTTTAGTCTGGATTTTTTGTTTTATTTTGGTTTTTGATAGTCTAAGGCTTGAATTCATTGATAGATGGTTTCACACATCCAAGCTCCCTGCCTCTCTTTGAAGACCCTGTCACATTCCACGTCTTGCAGGAAGCTTTCCCCAATGGAGTCATCTTTCATCAGCAGCAGTAATGATCTTTTCCTCAAAAATTCTGATTTTGTTGGTATTTGCACTAATGTGTAAATGGACCAAATACTTCAATTAAAATTTAAGTGAAAGTTAAGGATGGGGTAGAGGTGATAAAGGATTGAATGTATGTATGTATTGGCAGCCAAACAGAGAGATAAGTTCATTAATTCATTCATTCAAGAAATGATTGAGCACCTATTATGTTCCAGGTAGTCTTCTAGGAGTTAAAGGTATACTGGTGAATAAGACAAGGTCCCTCTCTGATGAACTCTACATTCTAGCAAAAGGAGGCAGACAATACATAAGTCAACAACTAACAAAGAAAATATTTCAGACAGTAATAAGTCCTATGGGGAGAAAACCTCCAGTAATATGTGGCTTCCAAAGGAAGCCACATTAGAGAGGGTAGCTGCTGAGGACCTCTCTAAGAATGTATTGTTGAGCTGAGACCTGAATGATGAGAAGTCTGGAATGCATCCAAACAGGGAAACAGCAATTGCAAAAGCCCTGAGGTTGTAAGGAGCCTGACATGTTGACTGAACAGGGGAGAAACGCACAGTTTGACAAAGATGCAGTGAGCAAGGGGAATGCATAGCTGAGGTCAGACGGGTAGACAGAGGCCAGATCAGCCAGAGCCTTGTGGACCACCGTTAGGAGTTGGGGGTTGATTATCTACACTGGGCAGCCACTGGATGTGGAATATTATTGCAACTGCTTTTAGACCAGTCTCCCTGTGTCAGTCCCTTCCTTCCCAGTCCCTCCTCTATTTTGCTACACCTGAGTGACCCTGGCCATATCACTCTTTAAAAACTACCAGTGAATCCCACAGCCCACAGGGTGAAGTCCAGACTGGACTGGGCAGACCCTCATGATAAGTCCCCATCTTCACTCCCAGGCTTGTCTCTGGGCCACCCTCATCTCAACCCCATTGTCAGACCACATTAAACTATGCTGCTTCCTCTGAATACCCTCTCCTTGCCTCTCCTCCATGTATCAACATCAAGGAAAAATACTTCCTTGCAGGAAGTTTACCCTAGGGACTATGAATAAAGGTAAGAGTTGATCTAGGGGAAGCAACAAGTACAGTGAATCACCCAGGGACCAGCAACAGCAGGGAGCTGTTACCTGGAAAGGTCTAAAGAAGCAGGAGGAAGGAGTCATACCAGCAGAGCCTGGTGGGAGTAGGAGCTTGGAACAGGAGCTGGTGGGTTGGGGGCGGGGGGGGCCAATGTGTAGCTGCTGTCAAAATCATAGTAGGCTTGGAGGGAGCAAATAAGTATTCCAACTGCTCTAACCTTTCACTCACCTGCAGAGCCTCTCATTGGCTACGAAACAGAAAGCCAGAGGGCAAGCCTGCTTGGCGATGTAGTCATAGAGGTCAGCTCATGGGTCACAGATAAAAAACAGAATGAGCCAGATGGGAGAGGGCAAAGTCAGTACCCAGACTCGCTGTTCTTACTACATGCAATGTCTTCCTCCTGCCTTTTTGCCTAGAAAACCAGTAGTTTATCTTCAAAACTATATTCCAAAACCTACCTGAGTGGAAGGAAATATATGGAGTTAAAGTATTCTACTAAAGTCCTTGCATTGTCCAGGAAGTAGCAAAAGCATTAATTTGTATTAAACTGTTTTAAGTCAAGAATGTATGGCATAATTTCTAGGGAAACCACTTAAAAAAGATAAAAGAATGTAATATCTAAAAAGATAATAGAGGGTGGAAATGAAATGATTGAACAGGCTTGAGTAATTGGAAAGAAGTGGAACAAAGAGGAGAAAATTATAAGATGTAGATTTAAACCAAATATATAATTTTTTCAGTATTTGCACTAATGTGTAAATGGACCAAATACTTCAATTAAAATTTAAAGATTGTTAGACTGAATTTTAAAAACTCAACTATGTGAAACACACCTTAAATATAAGGACACAGGAATGTTAACTGTAAAAAGATGGAACAAAATATAGCATACAACATTAAGAAAAACAAAGATAGTGTAGCTGTACATAACAAAGTAAATATTACAAAAGAAATGATATTAGATGATGATAAAAGAGTCAATACACCAGGATTGATTTAACTCTGTTTAGCATAACACTGCTAAATTTTTATGCATGTAATATATAGCCTCAAAGTATATGAAACAAGTTAACAGAACTGAAAGGAGAAATAGGTAAGTCTATTTCTCAGTAGATGATAACGTAGACAAAAAATCAATAAATAGAACAACACAATTAATAATCTTAACCTACACTGAACACCGTAGTCAACAACTGCAGCATATAAATTTTATTCAAGTGAACATGGAATATTTACCAAAATTAACAGTATACATGACCAAAGTAAATCCCTATGAATTTAAACGAATTTAAATCACACAAAGCATGTTCTTGGCCTACAATGCAATTGAATGAGAAATAACAAAAAGATAACTACACAATTGGGAAAAAATTATGGAAAGCCTAAATGAATGGAGGGATATACCATCTTCATGGATTGGAAAGCACAATATTGTAAAGATGACAGTGCTCCCAAATTGATCTATAAATTCAGTGCAAGCCAAAGCAAAACCCCTGCTGTTTTGTGTGAGAGTATGTGTGTTTGGTGGGTATTGACAAGTTGATTTTAAAGTATATGGGAATGCAAAGTGCTAAGCATAGCCAAAACAATATTGAGGAAGAACAGACCTATAGGACTAACAGTATCAGGTATCAAGACCTATAATGTTACATAGAGTGTAGAATTATTGTAAAAAATATACAAATAGACAAAAACAATAGAATTTAGAGTCCAGAAATTGATACACATGTATATGGTCACTTAATTTATGATAAACTAGAAAAACATATTTGTTTAAAATAAATTGTTCTAAAGCAATTAGAAATCTTTCAGGAAGAAAAAAATAAATCTTGATCCTTACTTTACATTACACATAAGAAACAATTCTAGATGATTGCAATCTAAACTGAAACATAAAACAAAAATTTCTACAAGTAGGAGAACCTCTTTGTGCCTTGGAGTAGTTAATATTTCTTTAGAAGGACATAAAAAGTGCTAAACATTAAGGATAATGGGCTATGTTAAAATGAAGAACTTTTATTTTTCTGAAAACATGATTGAAAGAGTGCCAAGGAAGTCCACAGAGTGGGATAAGTTATGTATAATACATAATTCAAAAAGAGGACTTGTATTCAGAAGATATAAAGAACCCCTACAAATCAACAAGAAAGTAAACAAACATACAAGTCAATCAGTCAATGGAAAAATAGCAAAGACTTAAATAGACACTTCACAAAAGAGATTAGCCAAATGGACAATAAACCTATGAAAAAGTGCTCAAGTTTATTAGACATCAGAGAAATGCTAACCAAAACTCCAGTGTGTATCACATCTACCAAAATGAGTAAAACCAAAAAGCTAGATGATACTAAGCATTGGCTAGGATATGGAGCAACTATACTCCTGTATATTGCTTACAGGACTGCAAACTGAAGGTATCTATGAAAGTTGAACATACGCAACCCTGTAACTCAGCAAATTTTACTGCTAAGATATCCAACAGAAATGCATTCATATGCTCCTCAAAAGACGTGAAGAAGGTACTGTCATACTAGCCCACATGCAGTGTCATACTGGAAACCACTCGAATGCCTGTCAATGTCAACACTGTAAATAAATGTTGTATATTCACATAATGGAATACTAAGCAGCAATGACAACAAACAAATGATAATCACGTTCAATAACATGAATAAATCTCACAAACAGAATGTTGAGCCAGAGACAGAGAAAAGTACATAGTACATCATTCTATTTATATAAAGTGTATAAAACAGACTTTATTGTGTTCAAAGTTAGATGGTGGTTACCATAATGAGTGGATAGTGGTTGGAAGTGGGCATGACAGAGCTTCTGAGGTGCTGGTTACCAAGGACGTTCAATTTGCAAAAATACACCAAGTTGTACACTCATGATTTGTATACTTTTCTCTATGTATGTTATATTGTAATAAAAGGGTACCAAAACTCAATTCCTGGTGGATTGATAAATATGACTACTTTAACAACTTCTTGGATAATGTAATCCCACTGAAGGGGGAGAAGAAGAAAAGAACTAACTTAAGTTACTTTGGAAAACAGGATGATGATTATATTCTGTAAAGCTAAAGATAAAAAGAACTGTGTAGAAATACCGTACTCTAGTGTTCCTCGTAAAGGGTATGGGTTAGGAATTCTGAAACTAATTTATGCGTGTATGACATTTGAACAAATAAGTAAATACATTGTAGGTCATGACAGCTGGGTTTTTCACTATCAGAGAAAGAAGATAAAAATTAGAGAAATGGGAAGAGTCAAATGAGCCCTGTGGTGTTGGATAGAATCTATAGTATCAGCATGAATTCATGGCTTTTAATATACACACACACATATACACAGATATGTGTGTGTGTGATGTATACCTACCTACATATACTTCTTATTCCCTTCTGTTGAAAGGGCCTAGAAGCAATGACACCCCAGTAGCAATGAGCACACCTAGTGCCAAGATCTTGGTTCTAAATACCAACCTATAATTCAAGGAACCAGGGATCCTTGGAAAAATGATTGAGTCTAGGGTTTGGACAGGGAAAGTACAAGATGAGCATGGAGCATCATATGGAACCAGAAAGGAAGGAACTGCAAAGGGAAAAAAAAAAAAAGGTGGGTGACGTTGAGAAGGCACAAGAGCCAGGACTTCCCTGGTGGCT